CAGCAACCCTGTGCACTTTACATTCAAAACACAGCACGAGAATCTGACCACTTCTCAGCACCACTGCCACCGTGGTCCATGTCACCACTCCCGCACCTGGACAATCGTCCAAAATACATTTGCTGAATGAATGAATAAATGTCAAGGATGGGAGAACAGAATTTACCACTATCCTCTTCATACAAGTGCTAAGGTCCACACCCCCTACCCTCACCCCACTGCCCCAGATCCAGCCTTGCAAGATACTTGACTTGTTTTAGAGAATTATGAGGTCACAGAGTGGAAAGAGTAGATTAAACAGAATGGCCAGCTGTGATGCATTCAGATGCCACCCCCTCAGGAATGAAGGACGTATCCCCCAGCTTCTGGGAGTCCTGCAGTTCACCACAATCCTCAATAGTCCACTACAACTATGGCAACTGGCTGGCTGAAGATGGCTGCCTCATCCAAGGTCACATCCCCTTCCCAGGGGGTATATAACCCAGCCCCCTTGCCTCAACTCAGAGTAACTCTGAAAGGCCATCTAAATTCAGAGTTCTCTAAGGCCTTCATTATGACTGCATCACAGAGCAACTTCTCCCTCTGCCCATTCCTGCTTTCTTCCTTTCCCATGCATGGGTGCCACTCCCAAGAGCACTCCCCAGCGAATGCCCTGCCCATTAATCTCTGTCTCAGGGTTGGATTTCTAGAGAATCCAACATGCAACATTGGCAAACAGGGTAAAGTGTGTCTTGGAGAATGGAAGATTCAGAGTCAGCAAATTACAGCCCACAGGCCAAATCTGGCCCACTGCCTGTTTTCATAAATAAAGTTTTATTGGAACATGGCCACACTCATTTATTTATGCATTGTCTGTGGCTGCTTTTACTCCACAACGGCAGAGTTGAGCAGTTGCTCTGGAGACCATCTGGCCCACAAAGCCTAACTTAATTACTATCTGGCCCTTTACAAAAAAAATTTGCCAATCCCAGTTCTAGATCATTACAGAAAAATCACATTTGTAAAATAAGTGTTCCTCAAACGTCTTCCGGCCCCTCTAGGAAGAAGTCCTCATGGGATTGGGGGAGCTGAGTCCAATGCAGACTTCTCTGGTGGGCTTGACATATATACATATAGTCTGTCATCTTCCCTTGAGTGGTACAAGCACTTTCTTCATGAAATAAACCACCCTCACCAACAACGTTGCAGCATCAGAACACTAGTAGACACAACGCTCATTTGGTGACCTGGCAGGCATCCAGTCATTCCTCTCCAGTGAATCCTCTCCAGCCATTCACATCTTGGATCACTAGTGATACTGAATTCCCCTGGGGACTTTCAGACCAGCGCCACCAGAAGCCTGTGCACTGACTGGGGCATTCTAAGAGCGTTCACCACAGAACACCAGCGTTTGGAGCAAATAGATGCAGGCAAACTACACATCAGTATCTTCTCCAAAAGCATCTAACAAAATCAGGTGGTTTTGCTCCATCCACTTGGATGTCTCGGGAATAGGGGAAAGCTTCAGCTCTAGGCCACGAAGGCAAAATGAAACTGGCAATAAGTAATGTATCGAAGTCAATACTTCGGTTTGAGGCATGAAACACCCAGGGAGGAGAGAACCATTCAGATCAATATTGTATATCCCACAGACCACCACAAAGAACGGGATTTCAGGCTGGGAAGAATTTCTGAGCCAATAAATTTTAACTATATCATTTGATATAATGACAGGGCTTATTACATTTAATTAGAAATTAACTGTGTAGCTCACTCTCCTAATAGATTATACCAGGGTAAGTGGCCACCAAATACTGGTATTACTTCACACGTCCATAAGCAGTCTTCAAACATCACCTGTAATGATAGTGGAGATGGGGCCACCACTGAGAGAGTCCCCACCATCCTAACTACTCTGCTGAGGGCTGTCACCAAGAAGGGCACAGCAGGAGCCAAATACACAGAACTGTTCTCAGCTCTAGCACTTAATGGCCACATGGACTTAGGTAAATCATTTAATCTCCAAGCCTCAATTGTCTTACTGGCAAAATAGGGATGAGATTCTCTCTTTACAGAATGGTTTGACTGATTCAAAATAATGGACACAATGGATGTAGCCCAGGGCTTGGCATCTAGGATTTCCACACTGTATGTTGTGGTTATTGACAGGATGATGATGACAATGGTGACGATGATGAAACTCTTCCTTACAATAGGTGCAGGGATTTGTACAATGCCCATCTAGCAGGGGCTAGCAGGGTGCTTACTAATGGTAGAGAGAAACATACAGGGACTGAGGAGATAAGCAAAGAAAGGACCAATTCCTAAGACCTCAGCCCTTAAAAGAGAACAGATACCCGTGTCTGTTAGAACACTCTGTCCCAGTAGACACGGCCCATCTGTCCTGCACAAAGGGTTTATAAGTGCTGTATCCCATTTTCCATAATCTTGGCAATCTTTCTGGGTGCGTGTCCTGGAGGATCATTCAAGAATACAACTTCAGGACTTTCTGTCTGATGACCTAACAACTAGACCTAAAATTGCCTTGCCCCCGTTTGTAGAATCTCCCAGGCTGCACCAACCTTGCAGCAGGACGTTAAAAGATGCTGCTCATGCAGTCTTTGCAATCCTTCAGATAAAAAGAATCAGATTCAGTAACTATGAAGTCTGAAGACCACTAATAGCATGTGTAGCCACGGGAGGCTGTCACGAATGCCTCAGACAAGATGCCAGTTCCAGCAGGAAAATACAAACAGTTCCTTGGAGTTTTAATGAGCATCGCCACTGTTGGAAAACACTTGCATTAAGCTAAAAAGCTCTGTCAAGCCTGAAGGTCAGCGAGCTCACCCTTGAAGCATCGTGTAGATTATACTAGGACAGACGGTGGTAGTTAGAGTCCGTGAGTTGTGCTTATAAATTTCGGGTAAGAATTCTATAGCATGGACAAGAAGTGCTTTCTTGTCACCTGGGAAGAAGTACATTCCATTGCAAATTAGTTCCTGAGTGAGAGAGCACAAAAGTACAGGGACGTGTGTGTGTGTGTTTGTGTGAGTGTACATTTGTACACATCTGAGGCATGTGCTCATAATGGTGAGCCCGAGTTTCTGCAGCTTTGAACTTCATGACTAAGGGACACAGAGTCACATGGAACCTCTTTCCCTCACAGATTTCACCTCAGGCAAGTAGAGCAGAAATTTTTTCAGGCTTGAGGGGACCTTCAAGAACACCAAATCCACCTCCTTCTCTAGTTACCCAGACGAGAAAACAGGCTCCTAGAGTTGGTGTGGCTGGTCCACATTCACTGCACCAGAAAATAGTAGATCAGCAACTCTACAGAAGCGGATCCGGCCTCCGTGAATCTCTCTCTCCTTGAATGGGAGAATGAGGCCACATGATTTGGAGTTGTTCAAAAGCTCCACCTGTGAATCTTTGGGATATAGAGCTATTCTGAGGGAAGTCGGCCTGTGGGAAGTAGAATTAACTCATACTCTTTGCCTAAGAAAATTAGTTATAGGAGTAGACATTTCATAAAGTCACAATCAAAAATCTCTGTGTGCCAAAGCCAAAAATAAGTTGGGGGGAATCTTCTCTGTTCCTGCTCCTCTCCTCTGAGATAAATGTTTGAGACTGGCTCTAGTGACTTTTAAAGACCCTTTGATGGAAGTACTATAAATGCAAATTATTACTTCACACCATGAGACATGGCATAAAAACGAGGATATGCGTCACAGCAATGTAGGTCGTACATTTCCAGAATCTTCGTCAACAAGGAAACGGAAGTGGCTGGCTTGAGCAATTTCTTTAAATACTAAAATGAGGTCCATCTTTGCAACACTGACAGCTGCTTACATTTTCCTTCTTGCAATAAGTCTGTAAGACTCAGAGGCATTTTGACAGTCTAATCAATCCAAAAGCCATGTCAAATTGCCTTAAAAATGTCTGAGCATTCACTATATACGCTCTTGTTAAAATTAATTACATCATTTAACATTTCTATGCACATTATAGCTTTAAAATGTTTTACAGTCATTTTTATTAATTAATAAAGCTTTAATGGACAAAAATTGCACTGTAAAATTATTATGCATATGCTGCATTTTCAATTTTACTACTATTATCTTTAAATATTTTCCCCAAGTGGAAAGTCACTAATTCATAAACCAGAGTCTCTCACAGAAAGTAAAGCTGAAAATCGGAAGTTTACACAGAGAAAGAAAGAAGTCTGGCCTCTGGCTGAGGCCTGCTTTCCCCTCCCTCATCTCCCGAGAAAGGGGAAGGGTGTCCAGGGCAGCTGGCCTCAGGAATTCTGCCCAGTCCCGGCAGTGGTGGAAACAGCAACAAATCGCAGCCGAGCTGCCCCAGAAAACACAGCTAAAGAAACAGAAAACTGCTGCTGCTGCTCTTTGGCACAGAGAGTCCCCAGTTTGCCTCTTTTGAAAATATTCTGTAATTACTATACACACATGCACACACACACACACACACACACACACTCTCACACTGTCACGCACAGACACTCCATTGTGGGGCTTCGTGGTCTAGGTTTCTAAGGCCAATCCACAAATATCAACCATCTGATTGAAAAGTAAAAGGTGCAGCACCCTGGACACTTCCAGATATTCAGATGTTCGGACCAGAGAGACAAAACATTCGGGAGGGCACAGCACTTTGTTCTTGTCACACTGTTTGGGAACGACGCCTGCCTAAATTGACTTCATTTGGAGGTTCTACTTTCCTACTCATTACACATGGTCTGGAACTATTGTTGGAAAAAAAACCTGGAGGGACGGTCTCTCATAATCTACAAAGGTATCATCTAAGAAAACCCACCCAAACCAGACATCATCACTGAGCAATGAATGGTCAGCTTTGAGGGAGAAGATGAAGCAATTCTACTGAGAATAAGTTAAGGAGAAGAAACTCGCTCCCTATCCACCTCGGCAGGGCATTTACACCGATTACCTGACGGGCAGGCGTCTGCACTTGGCAGCCCCCCTCCTGAGGACGGGGGCGGCACTCACCTGCCCTGTAACTCCAGCCAGGAATGTGAATGGACAGCTGGTTGGTGTGCCTGCTGGTGTGACAACGAGTTGCATGGTCCTCTCTCCCTTTTCTTACAGTGACCAGGTTAGTTCCCACGTCTGTGAATTCTGCATTTTCCAGTGGAGGGGAGCCATTCCAAGGACATAAGCCAGTCCCCAAACGCTCCCGTCCCAACGATATGTTTCTCTTCAAGAAACTTGCTTGCAAACCTGAGTTCCAGCGCGTGTCTAGGAGGTCCTGGTTTCCCTCTGTGAGCTCCTGCTTCAGGGTGCCGCTTGCGGGCCCTCCGTTAGCTGTGCCATCTACTCCATCTGGTGTCAATTTGTGTGAACTGCAATTTAGGTTGAGCGACAGGACCGATCTGTGCATTTCAGGGCTGGTAAGTTGAGGCTGCTCAATGGGGACAGAGAGGGACCTGTCTAGATAGTAGATGGAATTCGGACACTGCTGAGACACCCTGAGATGGACACAGGAGCTGAACACCAGTGGGCTCTTTCCCGACCGTGGGATGCCTCGAGAAAAACTGTTCTCTCTGTTGTCCCCATTGGTGATCCAATACCCGTGTCCCTTACACAGCTGTGCGTGGGCCTCAGGAAGCTTCAGCCTCATCACAGAGCTGTTTCTGGAGAATTCCACGAAGGGGAAAGGTCCATGGTGCTGATGTGGATTGGCACCACTGGCCAGAGCGGAGGAGTCCCTGAGCAGAGCGTCCTGGGCCCTGCATTTGGGGCACAGGGGGTCCCCTACAGCCTCCCACACCAGGGTGCTGGCTGGGGGTCCCACGCGCCTGGCCGTGATGGTGATGGATGCAAATCCCTTTTGGGGGCCACCGCAGGGCTTCTCCTCTTTGGGCAGCCACTCTGTCTCAGATCCTCGCTCCTCCACCGGTGTCTGAATTCCTGATCCTCTGGGAAGGAGGGCGAACGCCCTGCTGATGGTGACTCCGCTCCGATTAGCCAGAGATTGCTTCACGGGACATGCTGGAGGCTGAGCCACTGCACACGGCGCGGGCAACGCGGCCCCATTTTCTTTTGATTTATTCTCATCAATCAGCTGTGAAATGACTATGGATGAAATCATTTTTGTGTTTTGCGATGCCAGAGTCTCCTGCAAATGGAAAAAGATGGCAATTATTCAAGCAGTCCATTGTAATGCAGGCAGTCAACTCTCTTTCAAGGGCCATCAGGACTCCAGAGAATTCTGTTCATAATACTCCGAGTTTCTCCTCCAAGGCCTTTTCCCCAACACCTGACACCACCTCTGAGTGTTCGGAAGGGAAAGAAACCCAGATCTGCTTGTGAAATGGTTATACATTCTGGAAACGTTCCTCTGACTGAGGAACTGGTTTTCTCTGCTGGGTGTCTACTCATAGTTTATTTAATGATGTTTGCGTTGATGGGAATCGTCAATTTCAATCATCACCTCCACCGGGGCCCAGGAGCACCTGAACACACGTTCACAACCTCACAGGGGAGGGAAGATGAAATTCTGGAGGAGGGTGGGACTTGGGGGCACAGGTTTATATGGGAGATGAGTCAGTGCTCTTCAATGGAAACAGCAAATGTGATTACAGGAGCCCCTCTCTGCCTCGGTCCCCAACTCCCTAGCACAGTCCTCCACCTTTGCTGGTTTAGACTGGAATTCAGGGCTCCACATGCTTGGCAACAGGGGGTCAAAGTCCAGAGAACGAAACAACGGCAGTCAAACACCCAAGCTTGACAAGTGCCCAGAGTAACACAGTGACCACGACAATCACGTACCAGAATGGGGTAGGGGTACGGGTTTGGACCAGGACAGATGTAGTTTTGCTGCATTTCAATGCTCAGTTGCATAATCATGAGTTCTGACCAGTATAACGATCAAGGTGTTTCATGCCTCCTAATCAGCAGATCTTATATCCCAAGAGTAAATAGCTAGTGTGTCCAAAACAATGTGCCGTGATTTTTAATAAAGCGTCTAACCAGGTTGAGATGAGGAGGAAGAGTCTCTCCTGTCCTCATTTTGTTTTTATTATGTGTACGCAGAAAGCTACACGGAGGACTGAAGATGCCCAGCACTAATGAATGCTCGCAGGGTCTTGAGCCCCCATTTTGACATTCCTTATTCCACGTGCTTGAAATGAACCCTGGTGTGGAAGTGCACAGGATCCAAAATAATACCGGTATCACAGTGCTCAACTCCCGCTGCTCGCAGTGTCTTCACTTTGGGAGCCTGAAGGCATAATTGGTGCTTGACACTTAGGCAGCAGTGCTCAAACTCCAAGGTGCCTGAGAATCATCTGGAATGTTACAATTGCAGGTTCCCCAGGCTCTGTAGGTCTGTGGGTGCGGCCCAAGTGCCTGCATTTTAACCAACATCCCTGTGATTCTGCTGTAGGTGATCCAGGGAACACACTTTGAGAAACACAGAGTCATGGGTCTGCTGGTCTTTTCAAGAGAACACTTTTTAGAGGGGAAGAGCCGCGTTTGACGGGAGCAAATTGTTCTCCTTTCCTAAGATGTGATAAGAAAGCACGGTGCCATTTCTCCTCTTCAGAGCAGGATTAATATTCCTTTACTCAACTAACGTCATGCTCTCCTCCAGCTGGACTTGATGGGAGGACCAGTGTGTGCAATGTTAGCACTCGGGGCTCATGGCATCCTGTTAGACACGAGAAGATGGTCAACTTGTCTTTCTTGGTTTTTCCTTTTTTTCTTGCTGTTCATGGCAATCTCCATCACCTTACACATGGTTAGATTTTAAAGCTTTGTGGGAAGTTGCAAACTCAAAAGATAACAAGAGATAGGTGAAGCAGAAGAAACAGATAGGAGAGTCATCTTAAAATTCACTTCATTTTTTAAAAAATCAAAATATCACTGGCTATCTTTTTCCAGATAGCCAGTTCAAACCAGGCTTTGCTTGAAACCTCCTCTTACAGCGGTTCTCAGCCCAGGTTGCACATGAGAGGCACCTGGGAGCTTGTGAAAACCCCAATGCACAGGCCTCATCTCCGAACAATTAAATCAGAATCCCTGGGAGTGAGGCTCAGGCCTCAGCATTTTTAAAGCTTCTGGTGTGATTCCAGCGGGCAGGCGTGATGATGACCATCTGCCGATGCTTCTGAGGCACCTCTCCTTCCCTTCTGTCTCCCTACACGGCACTTTTCATGGCTGTGGTTTACATGCAAGAAAACTGAAGTGCACCTGGCACCTACCCCAGGCCATTTGACTTGGTACGTAATCCCTCCCATTTTAGTTAAATTTAGTTCTTATAATGATTGTTCCTGTGCACCCTACAAAGTGCATAATCATACCAGTAGGAAGGCCTTTGACACTGGCCTTTGAAGAAAAAAAACAAATACCCATCTTGGAAACTGCAGCATTGGTCTTATTTTATAGTGCAATGTTTCCCAAAGTTTGAGCCAGTGACCACCTGCATAAAAACACCTGTGGGGGAGTAAAAATGCAGATTTGTGGACCCCTCCCCACTCCCTCCCTAGATCTAGGTGGAATCGGGATCTATGGGGTTAAGGCCCAGAATTTGTATTTTCAGCCAGATGATTCTTCTGCACAGATATGGTGCAAAGGATGCTGGGCTAGGAATTGGACCTCCAGGGGCCCATCGTGAGCCTGGGGCTCCCAGACTTGCTGCAGGACCTCAGAGGAGGCCTTGGTTTTCACAGCTGTAGAGTAAGGAGAAAACAGAGGAATTTTTGTGGGGACTCCAGGCTTCCTCGTACTCTAGTCTCCGACATCAAGAGGGCCCCACACTTCGTGCTCAGGATTCCATGAGAGCCTTGGCCTGGATATAAACAAGGGGTGTCAGAAACAAGGGGCGTGTTTCTAGGAATGAGTGAATGTCATCTCAGCCTAGAACAAGGACAGAAAAGACCCTGACTCTGGCAATGTCAACCTGGCTCCACATCTGGGCTGAGACAGGGAGCCATGGCCAGGAGCCTTGGCCCGGAGCCCAGGGCTGTCCACGCTGGAGGGATGCCCTGGGGGCTGCACTGGGGGTTGTGGGTGTCACTGCAGGAGGTCCTAGAGGCCCAGAAGAACAGGATGAAGAATCAGCCCCCATTTCATTACCTTGAGCCTGACAAGTTCAGCTGTGACTTGGATCCCATCAAAAGCACTCAGATGAGGGAAGAGTAACAATGAATGACGTGAATTTGAACTTATTTCTGAAGCTCCGGAATTGCTCAGTATGTCAGGGTGACACTGTTCCTGGGGGATAAATGCTGATGGAAGCCCAGTTCCAAAGAAAAACCTATTTGCCTTCTCTACCTCACAGGGATGTTTTGGAGATCAAAAGCGATGATGGCTGCGAAAGCGCCTCTCAAAATATGAACACGTTATGTAACTCCCAGGTCTGACTTTTCGTGTGATTGAGCAGAAATCAGTGGATAGCAGATATAATCAAACCTATGGAGGAATGAGGGAGTATTTATATCAAAGGTATACTATAATTTCAGTGGACTTTATAATGCTTATTTTTTCGAGTTTATTTGAATTGCATAAGTGGGAATGACCCATTGCATACCCAATACACTGAAATTTTGATGAGAATGTAAAATGAATGTAACTATTTTAGATGCACATTCTGTTATTCATAACATGGAGAACCATGGTCAGGCCATTTATTTATTCACTCATCATACAAATATTTATCGAGCACCTACTGCATGCCAGGCTCTGTGGTGGGTGTTGAGGGGTTAACAGGCTGGAGATAACATCAAGCAGGTAATCAATTACCAGGACAGAGATTATGAGGTCAAGTCCTACTGAGTTTGTTCAGGTGTTTAGTCTCAGCTTTGACAAAAGCCCCAGCCAATACACTGAGAGAAATTTAAAAGGAAACACTGCACTCTTTGCTCTTCAACATACGTCATACTCTTGTAGGGAAGTCCCATTGATCAAAATCCTATTTTCTCATTGAGAGCCATTAAATAATTAAAGATAAGGTCTAATGTCTTAAAAATAGGTATCAGTCTGCTAGGGCTGCCATAACAAAGTACCACAGTCTGGGTGGCTTAAGCAACAGATATTTTATTTTCTCACCATTCTGGAGGCTAGAAGTCTGAAGATCAAGGCATCAGCAGGGTTGGTTCCTTCTGAGTCTTATCCCTGTGTCTTCACATTTTCTTCCTTCTGTGTGTGTCAGTGTCCTGATCTCTTCTTGCAAGGACACCAGTCACATTGGATTAGGGCCCACTCTAATGACCTCATTTAACCTTAATTACCTCTTTAAAGACCCTGTCACCAAATACAGTCACGTTCTGTGGTACTGGGGTTTAGTACGTCAACATATAAATTTGGGGGGGGTGGGGCACAATTCAGTCCATAACAGACCACAATACACCACTTTGCGTCCAGTTCTTCTTCTGGGGCTGGGAAACCAAAAAAGAGATGAGACAGAGGGACTACTTGATGTTCCTAAATCAGCCGACTACTTTTAAAACAGGGCAAATTTTCTTTAAAAAGTAATCACATCTTTTGCATGAAATATCTTCCCCAATTAAGCTATTTCAGGGTATCACTCCCTCTGCTCTTCATCCTGGGTTAACTGAACACGGCTTTGAAAAAAGATATCTAAAACAATTTTATTTTATCTAAAATGAACTGACGTAAGATTTGATTTGAAAGGAAGAAAATAATCTTGTATTTAAAGTAGAACGTTCAAGGTCAGAGAGAGGTCAAATGAATAGTTGAATTTTGTGTCTGGCTATGGTAGTAAATCACCCATTTCCTGACCATCAGCATACAACACTCACATTTGTACATTTTCTTGCTCATAAATGCTGCTTTAAGATATTGATTTCTTTTAAATGTTTCAAACATGATTTCGTAGGGCTAGTAACTGGCTTTCATAGTTTTATGCATTTTATTGACCGTTTTTGACTTTATACCTTAAGACATATTATGAAGAAGGGCACCATTTCATAAATTGAAGTAAGAAAGAGAGAAGCAGTGGATGTACAGAGAAATCAGACCCCGAGCCGCTGGAGTGAGGATGCCTCCGTTCCTGTAGCAATTTCTCTCTCCAAAGGATAAGCATCTAATCCAATGTATAGCTTTGAGATCTATATTTTTCTCCAGGAGACAATTCTTCCCTTTTCCATACCTATACAACTATATTAGCCCCATGGGTTCTTTGGACCCATCTCCCCACAGATACACTCTAGCTACCTCCACATTCGCTGCAAGCGTGGTATTCCCATTTAGTTGATCTAGACTCATCACCACTAGGTAATCTGTCAACCTAGTTGGTATTTCACCCTGAATGTAAAGCATTTTCAAATGTATGAGTTCACTGTGGTATGTAGCAATATGGAAAGAGGGTATTAAGACAAATGGAAAAAATCAGAGCTTTTCTCACTTTCCATCCTGAAACTCTTGTCTTTCCACGCATTTACTAGAAACCAAAAGATTCAATGCAGTGTAATGTGCAACAGTGAAAATCTGGCAAGAATCTAAATGTTTTTTAAGATGGGAGTGGGCAAGTAAATCACGGTATATACAAGAGCATCATATTCTGTAGAAATTAAAAATAAAGATTACAAAGAATTTAAATGACATGGGAAACTGCCTGTGATAGAATGTTATGTAATAAAAGAGAGGTATAAAAGTTGGTGTATGTTATAGTCTTATGTAAAAAAATGCATGGGAAAAATAAGAGAAAGAAATATATATAACTATTCTCTCATTTATATATTTCTGTATTTTCCTAAGAGTCTGCATGGAATTGCCATTACTTTTGTTATCAGGAAAATTTAAACATTGTTTCTTTAAAGAAGAAAATTGTGTTCCAAATTTCATTCCTTTTAAATAATCACTTTGCTGAAGAAGTGCCTGCATATCATTTCTATAGCTTCGATGAATTTTGAAAGGAAAAGTGATCAATCTTGTGCAGGCTCTGGAGGAGAGCCGGAGATTTATAGTGGTTACAAAGGAAGGGCATCCGCTTGGAGTGTTTCATCATCCTTATACAGCATCCTTATAACAAACACACAGGGACAAGCTTTACAAGCCCAAGTTAGGAGGGAAATTTGAAAGTCACACTGCTGATAAGATCAAATGAGATGATCTGGATCATTCCAAAGCAGATGTTTAGAAGATGTGATTTGTGGGAGTTGTTTAACTCAGTCACAGATAATGACCAAGTGTGTGAGTATGCGTGTGTTACAGAGACACAGCCACGTGGCCCCAAGGATCCAAATCAGTAATGACCAAACTGATTAATTTTAACATCAACAGGTAAATGCTGAAATTTGCCAGCTCAATATGAAAAACAGGTGGGAAAGATCTTCGCTTGGTAACTTTCTTAAAAAAGACTAGTAATCGACTTCAGCATTATCATCCCATTTTTTTTTACTTTTGATTTTACTGTGGTAACATCGGTTTATAACATTGTATAAATTTCAGGTGTACATCATTATACTTCTATTTCTGGCTAGAGTACATCATGTTCACCACCCCTATACTAATTACAGTCCATCACCACACACATGTGCCTAATCATCCCTTTCGCCCTCTTCCCCCTCCCCTTCCCCTCTGGTAACCACCAATCCAATCTCTGTCTCTATGTGATTGTTTGTTGTTGTTTTTATCTTCTACTTATGAGTGAGATCATACAGGTCAGGTATTTGACCCTCTCCCTCTGACTTATTTCACTTAGCATAATACCCTCAATGTCTAACCATGTTGTCACAAATGGCTGGATTTCAAAGGCAGGCACTATCATGTATTGTTAACTGGGCATCTCTTCTCAGGATGGCTCTCAAAGACCCACTCCTTCTCCTACTCATTTCCTTCCCCGTGACCTGGGGTTCCTGCTCATGCACCCAGGAAACGAATTAATTATAGTCACACATCTTTACATCTTCAGACAGTGAGCTCGGTTCTTCCACATAGAAAGGACTTTCAATACTGACGACTAAATCTCAGGACCCAGAATAGCATCCTTTCTCCATCCTGTGGGATTTCAGCCCTGGGGTCTCTGAGGGGAATGTCGAGCTTTATTAAATGCAGAGCTGAATCAAAGGATAATACCTAAGACAAGCATTTTGAGGGGGGCGGAAATGATTTTTTACACATAACCTTGATCCTTTAATCTGTTATGAGAGATTGACTCTTATAATTCCACTCTTAGAATTACAAAAGTTGGCAGCAGAATATCCACATGTGAAGGACAACAGATGCCTTGTAAACTGTAACACCTCAGACAATTCTTTCAGGCAGGAAGGTCCATATTTTAAGTTCTGTTAACTGGAATGAGCCTTCCTCTATGCCAACCCTTTAGAGTGAGATAAGAACAGCAGCTCTGGACCCAGACAGCTCATGAACCACAAGATTTGGGGCAAGTCAACTACCAGAGCTATCGGACCTTTAGTTTTTTCATCTGTGAAATGGGTACAACAACATCTCCTCCCGGGATTGTGGGAAAGACGAAGTGAGTCAGTTAGACAGAGCTTGGTGTGTGCTACATTGGCAATATTAACCACTGTGTGCGGAGTTCTTGGTTCTCTAGAATCAGAAACATTTCATAAATATGAACTCTAATTTTCTTCCCTATTTGAGACCACTGACATTTTCTACAGTTACAATAACCTGTACTAGCTTGTTAGATTTCAAATTACCTCTTCTCCACCTTCAAAATGCGATATGGCATCATTCTCTCTCTCTCTCTCCAGCGGATTAAATTTGGTTTAAAATTGAGATTCAATCACCATGCTCTCCTATGACACTGCAAATCCAAATTGTTGGTGAAGATTATAGAAGAATAATTGAGTATACACGGCATACTTTAATAACAAGGCTTAGTCATTGATGGTTAGATTTTCTGCTGCATTAATTCAATTTTTGACTAAACAAAATAAAATGCAAACACATCACAAGTAGGCCAACGATCATGTTTTATAATTGGCTGCATTTTGCTGACTACTCTAGAAGTTAGAAACATATGTTACCTTGGCAAAGTCAGATTTCTTCTCTGGAACATCAGACTGGAGATTTTTAAGGGCAATTTGATCGTTTGTACTGCACTGGTTGTCCCGTAATCCTAGGCAAAAGGAGATAATATTGCTACTTTTTAGTATGTGAAAGTATAAAATGGAGTATATAACTTTACTATAAAATTTAATGTCATCTACTCAGGTATTATACTAGCTGATAGCGAATCCAGTCTATTCTGACCCAAGATAAAACCTTGTACATTTCTTACCTCATTCGTTCCACCCCCCTCCATTTAGGCTCTCTGAGTTTACTGTTATTTAGGTTATTAGGCTGCAAGATTTTTTCTTCCATACAGTTGTTCACATTCCTAGACTCAGTAATAACTGAATGAATTTAGCCGTCTCAAATTCTCCCATGTCCTGAGTTTACACTCAGCAGAAGAATCACATCTATGGATTTCCCAACACCACTAGAGTTAAGAAAAGCTGAAATACAAGACCAGCTTCTTAATGCAACCATTCTCGAAAGAGCAATGAGTGACTCAGACTCTGATAATGAAACTGCTTTGGAATGTCTGAGGATAATTTTGTGATAATATTGTGAGGATAAATGAGACACTGTGGACAGCCCTCCACATAAATATCTGCCACAATGATAGCTGAGAATATCATCAGGTCCAAGCACACACAGCCATGGACCAAGATGGTGGAACCTGGGTTCTGGTCCTGGCTCCACCATCAACCAGCTTGATAACGATGAACAAGTCTATGGAATTGCTCAGTGGAATTTCCTCATCCACCAAACCCACCCTGCATGCCTCATGGAGTACTGGGTAGAAGGAAAAAGCACTCTTAGATGCAAGCTAGCAGTATTGTGACGTCTGCCTGGGTGTCTTGTTGCTAATGTAGAAACGTAAATCAAACACAGGAAGGTGGGGTAAAAATACTACCCAGTCCAGTGTAACAATATTGCCTCCGCAATGCAGATATTCCGGGGAAAATGATTTTTCAAAAGGCTGCAAAGAATGTTCTCCAACTGCTAGTGCTAGTGATGAGAAAGAAGAGATTTAAGAAAGCAGCTCTCTAACCCTGTCTATCAACTCATGAGAAGGGTTTATTTAAAAAATTAGATATAATTTAAAGCATTTAATGGGGAAAATGATATGAGATAGTATTTTCAAGTTTGGCAGGTTTGCAAAGGAGTAAGGACACGACTCAAGTGAATTTCAAGGGCCACCCCTGACCCATCCATAGCCTGTTCATGTCTCGTCTCATCCTTGGATGACAATGGAGCCTGCATCAGCTCTAACCCAGACGTGTGGCTGTGCCTCCATCTCTGCCTATTACTGAGTGACAGAGACAGTCATCCAAGATGATGTGCACAGATTACTTTCCATGAAGTGCAAATATAAGACCTGAAAGATCTCATGGATTTCTGTGCAGAGATGATGCATCATGATGAACTGACAATAAAGCTGATGAAGATGGAAATCTCCTGGCTCTGGTCATGTGGCATTGAGGTTAAGAACTCTGGAGTCAGCACAGGCTCTTGGGCAGTCAGGCCTGGGTCTGCATCCCAGGCTCACTTGCGGTAGGTGAGTTGCTCGCCCTCTCTGAGTTTCTTCATCCGTAAAATGCAGGCAATAACCCCTCCTGCCCAGCCTTGCCGTCGATGCACTGAGGATAATGTATGTAAAGTATTTGGGCCAGGGGTGGGGTGTGGCCTCAGTTATGATTGTTAATGAGCAGGACCAAGCCAGCCTCGCCCCCAGGCCCAGATGGTCACTATCACCGTGGCATCAGTGGTCTTTGGAATCAGACCACAAAGTCCCAGGGTCTCTAGCTACATGTGTGGCTTTGGGCAAATTACTCAGCATCCCTTGGTTCCTTGCTGGTAAATGGAAATAATAATAGTGCCTACTTCATAGAATTCCTAAGAAAGATTAAGTGACCTCACTAACTAGCCCTTAGCACAATGCCCGAAACATAAAAACATGCAATAAACATTAGCTACTGTGACGTGCCATCGTCTCTAGCAGGGGGGAGGACGACCGCCGTGATGAGACAAGCAGGGGCTGCGTATGAGTGTCCTATCGCTGCTGTAACAAATGACCACAAACTTAGCGGCTTAAACAACACAAACGTTATCATCTTACAGTTCTGGAGGTCAGAAGTCTAATGCAGATCTCACTGGGCTAAAATCAAGGTGTTGGCAGGGCTGCACTCCTTTGCAGGTTCTAGGGGAGAGTCTATTTTCTTGCCTTTCCAGCTTCTAGAAGCTGCCCACATTCCTTGGCTCACGGCCTCACATCACTCCAACCTTTGCTTCTGTCATCACATCTCCGTGTCTCTCTGACTTTCCTACCTCACTCTTATAAGGACACTTGTGATCACATTAGGCCCACCAGATAATCCAAGGTAATCTCCCCATCTCAAGGTTCTTAACTTAGTCACATCTGTAAAGTCCCTTTTGCCATGAAAGGTAACATATTCACAGGTCCTGGGGATTAGGACATGGACATATTTTGGGAGACCATTATTGTGCCCATCACAAACTATTTGAGGAGATTGAGGTGGATGTATTGGATGGAATGTAGGGCCCTTAAAATGATGACTATAAAGCCTATATGGAAACATGGGAAAGTGCTTGCAATGCAACATTTATTGGAAGAAAGGAATCAAAAGCTTACGAACCGCATGATTGTGACATTAAAATTGTTTTTAAATGTGTGTGGGAATCCACACCAACAGTGAAATTGTAACTTAGAGTCATGAGCCTATTTTTGAGTGAAACTGAGCTATGGCTAAAGCTGAGCACGAGAGTGCCTCATACGTTAATGAGCCCAGAAGACATCATGAGGGGAGTTACCAGAATGCTTACAAGTATAGACTTTGGGTAAAGAAAGACCCTGATTTAAATCCATCTCTGCCGCTAACACTTGGGCAATTTAAGTAATTTTGGGCAAGTTACTTAAATTGTCAGAGTCTTACTTTCCCATGTGTCAGAAGAAACATAAGACCTGTTTCTAGGGTGGTTACAAGGAATGAGATGATGAATATTGAGAACTTAGCAGAGTGCCTGTCATGCAGTGAGGACACATCCCCTGTCCATTTCCGCCGGATCTCATAACTGTCACCACTGATAGAGACACCCGCCATTGGGTGACCCCCTACTGGCACCGCTGAGCAAGGCAAAGCTGCCAGACATTTGGGGAGGTTAGCGAGAACCAGACTGATAAGAGTTTTGGCACTTTCCCCGAGCTGGGATGGATCGGTTTCTCGGGGAGAATGTTCGTGTCTCCAATACAGAAAACAGCAGAAACCAGGACAGATTGCACCTGGCCTTGGTTTCTAGAAGAGGTCCTGGTGCAAGGACAGGAAGCGGCCAGGCCGGTCTGCTCCTTCCCTGCACAGTGGGAGCTGGTCTGTCCCAGAGCTCTCACAGGGCAGGTGCCTGCCCCAGGGCCGTCGGGTTAACTCCACTCCGCATCAAGAAATTGTCCTGGTTAAAAGAAAACTGGCAGAGGGTGGGCAGGCCCTGAGTACCTGCAGGACACATGCTAGACAGGGCTTCGTCGCAGGAGTCCCGCAGCCCAGGTCCAAGTTCTACTTGTGTGGCTTTATGTAGTTTATGTAACCCCAGATCCCCCCTCTGTGAAATTAGAACCTGGAGCTGACTCTGTGCCCTGCTCTGTTCCCTTGCTGAGGGGTATCCCATCCCTCAGCCTCTGGGAGGGTAGCTGTCAACGGCTCACAGCTTCGCTCTTCTCTGAGAATGGTCCTCCATGAGACGCTGCACCTTTCTCCACATTAGACCTCAGCCAGTGGTGACTCTTAGGGGTACAAAAGCCAGAGCAACTCTGTTGTTGATGCTCCAGAGCATAAACGGAGGGCTAGATAGTTCCTGAGACCCTGTCCTTGCTTGGCTCCTTCCCTTTCCTCATCAGGCATCTCTAACTCTCACATGTTCTTTCCTGAATAGCAGCCCCTACACGTGCCCCCCAATCCCTGCCTCAGGCTCTGCTTCTTGGAAACCTGACCCAAGACAGGGTCCCACCTCACAGTGCTGTTTAAGAGTAGTGTCTCTCAAAGCGGGGCCCCCAGACCAGCAGCCCAGCATCCTGGGGGAACTTGTTAGAAATGCACATTCTTGGGGCCCACCTACTGACCTGCAGACCTACTGACTTAGAAACTGTAGGGTGGGCTCAGTCATCTGTGCTTTAGCAAGCCCTCCAGGAAGCTGGGCACAGCTCAAGTCCAGGAACACTGTTGGTCTTAGACCACCAAACTCCTCTACAGGTGGCGAGTTTGAGGCCCTAGGAGGAAACCATATGCTTTTGACTCAGAACTACCCCATGGCTTTTAGAAAACCACACCTAGGGGATCTAAATGGGGCTTTTTGCCAATGGCTTCCATTGGAATGAAGCCATCAAGAATGCCAGAAAGCTGACTTTCATTTTGAAACAAATTAAAAATCAGTCCAATTAGCCACCCAGTCATGACTGGTTTATGAAGTGGTTGTGTTTGGTGCCCAGGGCTCTGGCCCTCTGTGTCCCCAGGAGTATGTCAGTGTACTAGGATGTCTGAAGAGGTTTCTCTCCTGAGACAACCGGAAGGACTGAACACGCTTCTGCCTCTATCAGCCTGACGCACTCATCCAAAGCCACCCCCTCCCACTTTGAGCCCCTTCCCAGAGGCCATAGCATCATGTGCAACGTTAACTGAACACATCACGAGGCCCTGAGCCAGGCACTTCTGGAATCCAGCTTTCCTCCCTGGAGGAAGGTGTGCTTTGGCAATGGAATCCAACTGAGCAGGAATTTATGCAGCACTCAGGGTGTCGGAGGCCCTGGGCTGAGAGGCCAGGGCAGGTGAGATGCTCTGCCCTCTCACGACTCTAAAGACGAAGTCGCAGCTTTGCTATCTCTGGCCTCAATGAGCCACGGAGAGAGCCCTGCCAGCCAAGGGACACAAGCCAGGTTTGGGGCAGGAGGGACACTTGAACTGGCCTTGCAGTATGGGGTGGATTTTGACCAAAATGGAAGTGGGGTAGGGAGAAGGTGGCACAGCCCAAGCAGAGGTAAAAGGGAAAAGTGCAAACGGCTTAACTATAAAAGCAGAAGATCCAGTGTATTTGGAGAACAGCAAGCAGCACTTATGGGTGAAGCAAAAGATACGGGCAAGGAATCGCACACGATTCCCACGTGGCACCCAGCACTGCTTGAGTTGTCTCTACAAAAACAGGAGACAAGCAACATCATGCACTGCCTAATGAATCAATCCATCAAAGTCGTGTGTAAACGACGAACCTCCAGCCTTTCGTAGTCTAGTAAGCTTCCTTGTTTTCATATCTATATCACTGGCATCAGAGACACAGAAGGTACATTCAAATTCCCACTTCTTGGACTGTAAACGCCTCCTCTCACTTCTAGTCTTCCCGGAGTCAGGGTTTACTCTGCATTTTCACCATAACTTTAACAATACCCTCTTTTAATATTTTAGAATAGATGTTTCCTAGAGAGAATCACTTTTCGGATTGAAATTAAATTAATCATCTCTGTGAGATTTGACCCTGTTGACTACTCAGTGCCTCTGGAAAATCTTTCCAGCTTTGACTTCTGGAACAGTGTAGTCTTCTTACTGTCTTTCTCCCTCCTAGCTACTGTGTCTTACTTTCTTTTGTAGGTTCTCTCCTTGATCCCCCCTGTTCTCCCTCTGGGCCGTCTCACCAAATCTCAGACACACTGTGGCCTCTGCTTCCTTTATTGACCAATGCCAAGGAGGACCCAGATCTCATCCGCAAGCACCAGCCCTTAGAACCAGCTGCCCCCAAGTCACGGCAAATTCGGCCTTTTCTAAAGGGAACCAACCAACTCCCCTCAAGTTGCTGCTGCCTCCCCCTCCTCCCCATCCTCTCCTCATCCCCCTCACCCCCTCCCTCTTTTCCTCCCCACTCCACATCCTTCTCCCTGTGTCCACTATCTTGGTGAGCGGCCACCATCCTCCCATCACTCACAATAGAAATCGAGGCATCCCACTCCACACCCCTCCCTTTTCCTCACCTCCAACGTCCAGCTGAAAGCCAAGGCCTGTTTTATCTTATGAAAAAGGCTCTGCTCTGTCCCACCACTTTAATCTTCCCTGGACTGCCTGGTCTCTGCAAGGTCACAATCAGGCTGGTAACCCACCAGCCTCATCTCCTCTCAGGTTCCCCCCAGTCTTCTTGACATCACCAGTCTGTGACCTTGTGGGGGTCACAGGTTCCTTTGAAAACTCTAATGAAAGGGATACATTTCCCCCCAAGAACAGGGCCTGGGAAACATACGTGTAAAAATCTGAGCACATGTGCAGAGGCTCCTGGAGCTCAAGGAGACCAGGATAGAAATCCTTAAAACAAGGCTGCTTCTACTTCCCAGATGTGACCGGCTTCAATGTCTCTGTGTCTTTGATCTTGCGTGCCAACTTCTCAATTTTCCTATTGGGCTAACTCCTCACCCTCCGAAACAGCTCAAGTTCACCTCCTCCTAGGAGGGCTTCTTGGTCCGCCCCTCCCCCACACGCCCTCCCACCTGTGTTGGTGCCTTTATTCATTTCCTACGGCTGCCATAACAAATTACCACAACGAGGTGGCTTAAAACAACAGAAATGTATTCTCTCACAGTTCTGGAGGCCAGAAGTCTGAAATCAAGGTGTCGGCAAGGCCATGCTCTCTCCTGAGGATCCAGGGGAGGATCCTTCCTTGCCTCTTCCTAGCTTCTGGAGGTTGCCCGCAATCCTTGGTGTTCCTTGACTTATGGCAGCATAACTCTGATCTCTGCCTCTGTCTTCACATGGCCATTTTCCCCTGTGTCTCTGTCTCCAAATCTCTCTCTCTTTAAGGGGACACCAGCCACTGGATTAAGGCCCACCCTACTCCAGTATGACCTCATCTTGACTACATCTGCAAAGACTCTATTTCCAAATAAAGTCACATTCACAGGTGTCAGGGGTAGGGACTTGAACATATCTTTTCAGGGGACACAATTCAACCCACAAGAGTGCCCCTGACAGGCTGTCACTACGTCCGTCCTTACAACACTGCTCTGTAATTATCTGTCCGTGAGTCTGTCTCCCCACGTTGGCCGAGGTCTTTAGAGGACGTCCTATTCGTTGCCTTCCCCTCACGCCTAGCACAGTGCCTGGCCAACTGAAGACACCGGCTGAATGTTAACTGAATGAACAAATTATTTTATATTTTGATAAAAGTTGTATCTATGGGAAAAATCAGAACATACCTGCCTCAGACAGTTTGATCATATTCCACTGGCATTTCAAAGACATTTTACTCAGTTTCAAAGCTCTTTTAATGACAAGGATGTGTTTGGCTAAAGGAAACTCAGCCACAGTTTACATCTGTAACTACTCTGGGAATGAGTCAGGCTCTCACCTTCCACCCTGGGCTGAAGAACCTCAAAGCAATCCACCTGTGGTGGAGTCACTGGAATGTTTACGTGGCAACCGGGGAAGGGAGTGGGGGTGGGGGTGGGGTCCACCCTGGCGCCAGCCATTTCTCGTTAGCAGGAACAGCAATCATCACTTTGACGTTTATGTCTGAGGCTTCTTTGACAAGTAAAGAAAGTTTGTGGGCGACTGTTATTTAAAAGTTTTCTGCAGAGAGCCGTTAGATGTAAGACAAAGAACTATTTTATCTACTGCCTCCAGTCAGATACACATTTCCCCTCTTTCTCCACAACTTCTCAGTCCTTTTTCCTTTTTCACCTTGTTTTGATGGTGCTGGTTCTCTTGCCAAGCAGCATTTTTACTGTTTAGAAGTTTCCCGAGTTTTAAAATGCATTCAGATAACACCACAATGTTAATTTGTTTAACCTACTTGTAATATGTGTTATTAATTTTTGCAAACTGGTTTATCTAGAGAATGGGGCAATATGACAGTCTGTTTATCATGCAAGCTGTTACAAGAACAATTGGTTTTCATACAATTTAATGAAGCACTTTTGACACTAAGTTATAATGAACATTGTTTTATAATTTACACCCAACCGCATTTGAGGTAGCTTATAATTAACAAACACAGATAAAAACTGGTAAAACTGTGATAAAAGAAGCAAGTAATGAGCTGGAGAAATCATTGAACCAAAAAGCCTGGACTAAAGATGACACTGGCACAGGTGAATCACAAGCTAAGTGTGAGTTTCCAACAGCCAAGGCCAAAGGGGGACGTGACAAATTGCATAACTCATTGCCTTCCAAATGAAATACACAGTTTCATCAGGAGAGTGGTTTTATCCCCTGAGACAAAGCATTGATAGCACGGGTCGTTATAGAAATGGACAGCACCTTTGTAAGCCATTTCATGAACATGGGACCAATGTAAATTTCACTGGACGATCCCAAGTCTGGTCAATGTCACTATTACGTCATAATGGCCAAAATTTGTTGTGCACTCACTGTGAGACAGAGGTTGGATACAAGTGCTATCTCCTTTAACTCTTCAAGTGGCCCTCTGAGGGGGGCACTATTATCACCCGCATTCTACAGATGGGGAAGCCGAGCTTCATTTAAGTAACCTGCCTAGGTAACAAGCGTCACCCGTCCAATAAGCCTCAAGCTGAGAGATTGCCATATTAATGATCACTGCACACGTAAAATGGGTAGAAATGGAGCAGAGTCTGTGCGATCTGCTAACATCTCCTCTGAAGCTTGAGAAAGCTGATGGTGTTACCACATTCTTGCCCTGTAACCTTAGACAAGTCACATAACCTCCAAACCTCGGTTTGCTCCTCGGTAAAAGAGGCGTATTGACATAGGCTTTGTAGGGCTGAGAACTGTGAGACAGGTAAATAAAGGTTTTCACAGGCTCAGCATAGTCCCTGTCACACAATGGGCCCTCGAAAAAATGGAATGTATTATTTGCCACAGTTTTACATATAATTTTCATCTTTCTCTGAAAATTATGATGTGTAATAAAGATGTTTTAAAAGCCTGTCCACTAATTTTGTAGCCCTTGGGTTCTAGCTGATCTCCGAGATGCCTGGAATCTGAGGCACTGTGCCTCCAGCCCCTGGTGTCCAGTGTGGCACCCCAGGTGCCTTTCATGTGCCTAGAGTGGGGGTCAGGGTAAGACCACTGGGTGCAAGGACTGTGCACCCAAATGTGACCGTGCACGTGTTCCAGCGCTCTGCAGACTGTGACGCCCTTCTCATGTGTACGGCATTAGTGTGGTCACTACAGGACCTCAGTTCAGCAGACATTTACTGAGAAGCTAACATCTTTGAGGACCTAAATTAGGTGCTAGGGTAACAGAGATGAAGAGAGCACTGGAGTCCCCATCTTTGAAGAGCTCAGAGCCTAATGGGGAATGAGACACATAACGAGACCTTTTTCAACGCAATGTGGGTTTGATCATTTCCTCTTGTGAACTGTATTTTTTGTTCTTAATTGTAGTAAAATACACATAACATAAAATTTACCATCTGAACTATTTTTAAGTGTCTAGTTCAGTGACATTAAGTTCATTCACAGTGTTGGGCAACCATCACCACCATCCATCTCCACTTTTTTCTTCTTGTAAAACTGAAACTCTGTCCCCATTAAACAGTAACTCCCCCGTCCCCCTCCCCAGCTCCTGGAACCCACCATTCTACTCTCTGTCTCGATGAATTTGACTATTCTAGGGACTCAGATAAATGGACTCATACAGTATTTGTCCTTTTGTGACTGGCTCATTTCACTTCACATAGTATCCTCAAGGTTCATCCATGTTGCAGCATGTGTCAGAATTTCCTTCCTTTTTAAGTCTGAATAATATTCCATTGTATGAATATACCACATTTTGTTTATCCGTTCATCCATCAGTGGACACCTGGGTTTCTTAGACCTTTTGGCTGCTGTGAATAACGCTGCTTTGAACATGGGTGCACAAATATTGCTTCAAGTCCCTGCTTTCAGTTCTTTCTGCGGGTTGTCTTCTGCCTTGCGTTCTGTGTTCTGTCTTCCTCTTAGAACCTAATACTTTCTTAGCAAACACTAGAGTCCTTTTTTGAGAAGTACGTAGGACAAAGAGATAGACACACGATACATAATTTTAGTAATCATCTTACAAGCATTTAAAAAAAATTATCCTTTCCTCCCTTCATACCCACGTGCAGTGGGGGTGGGAGGGGGAGAGGGAGCAGTCTTGTTTTAAGTCCTTGACAGGGGTCAGCAGTTAAGCACAGGTGGTCTCCATCACGTAACACTAACACCTTTAACGTGGGCTTCAACACGCAAGGAAGAGAATGCACCTCCCCTTTCAGAAAAGACTTCACGCGCTGGGAGGCGGCCCAGGTCAGAGCAAAGCAGGGCCTGGGCAGGGAGCAAGAGTTCTGCTGGGTTCCCAGGGATGTGCAGCCTCCCCAAGCAGAGGGCCTGGGCTTGGGCAGCAAGAAGGAGCAGTGGGAGAGGTCGAAAGGTGAGAATTTTCCTCCTTTCTTTTGGCCTCAAAAGGGACACAGCACAACATGGCAGGAGGAGTCCAGGCAGGCAGCACAGACTTTGGGCTCAGATCCCACCTGCCCAGTCAGCTGTGACCTTGAGGGCTCAGCCCATCTCCCAGGCTCAGCCTCCCCATCTGTGACCTGAGGAGTGTGCAGGGGCCTGCATGGCCTCCAGGATTGCGTCTAGCTCTGCCAGGGGATCTTGTCCCACGATTGCTGGGCCGCGAGGTGTGGTGGACATTGAGGGAGGGTGTGTGTGAGAGAGCAGCACCTCCACTTCAGCTTGCTTCTGTCTTAAAGTGGAAAATGGCATCATTATGCACTCTCTTCTTCAAGGAACATCAAGCTCACTGAACAAGAATCATTATTACCTTGTATTGAAAGTCAGGGAGGGGTTTGATTTCCGAGGTGATCGTTTCTGCCTTCACAGGTGGGTGGCAGGAAACTGGGAGCCTGTTATCAACAATGATGACCAGAAAGAGACCCCCGGCTTCCCCTCCATGAGATCTAGGCTGCAGCTGGATTCTGACCATGCAACTGGTTAGCTAGGCAGCTTTCTGTAGGATGAGCAAGGATGGACTGTTTGCTTCTAGGTCAGTGCTGGATAAGAACGAGCACACAAGGAAGAAAACTGGGGCGTCTTTAAAACCTCCTGCAGAGGTTTTAAAGAACCAGGAGCTGCATCCGGCCCAGCTGCAGAGCCACGCACTCCCCCGAGACCAAGGGAACCCGTCAGCTCAGAGTTTGTTAGGTAAACAAGCCACGAAAATATTTTCTTAAGATGTCAGCATGGATTTCTTCTCCTTCACAAGCAGCAACGGGGCTCTTGTTTGTGGGTCTTGTCCCTTCGGCTGACTTCACCAGAGCCCGTCTGAAGCCTGGAGCAGGAGCCCGCAGAGAGGATTACAGGCTCCGCCGTGAGCTGGACAAATGATGCTGGTGCAGGGTCTGCAAGCTCCAAGTCATAAATCTCTCATTATAGGAGCCATTAGCCGCACGCTGCACATCGGGGGTCTGAGGAGAGAGGCCCTGTCAGCGGACCAGATCCGAGAGGCAGCATTAGAGGAAAAACTCAGGCTCAAAGATGCTCACACACACTACTGCCATTATCCTGTATCCCCACTTCGAAAACCAAAGTGGGCTCTTTACTGTGCTGGACAATTAGAAGAAGACTGCTCTTCTCCCCTGCTGTGTGTTTTGTTTTGAGTTTTTTTTGGCTTTTATTGTTGTTGTTTAATGAAGCAAAGATCCTGTCCTCTACTGGTCCCTCCTGCTGTAACAGACCCTAAACTTAGGCAAGAACCAGGGAAACTGTCCCCTTAAATGTGTAGGCACACAAGAATCAAAAGCTGCCAAAATATTGGCTTGTCCACACCTGCCACTTTATAGAAAAAGGAAATAGAGGCTCAGAGAGAAGCAGGGCTTGCGGGAGAAGCTCCCAGCTAGGAAGCGGCAGAGTCAGGCTCGATCGGTCAAGTCTAATAAAGACCCCAGACCCCTGGCTCTCAGGCAAGTTATCTTCCAACACATCCTGTCTAGCTAGGCTGAGCTGCTCTCTCTCTGCAGTTGACTTATGTGTGTGTGTGTGTGAGGAAGATTAGCTCTGAGCTAACATCTGTTGTCAATCTTTCTCTTTTTGCTAAGGAAGACTGGCCCTGGGCTAACATCCGTGCCCATCTTCCTCTACTTTATATTGGATGCTGCCACAGCATGGCTTGACAAATGGTGTGTCGGTCTGCACCCGGGATCCGAACCTGTGAACCGTGGGCCGCCGAAGTGGAGTGCCCGAACTTAACAGCTATGCCACCGGGCCAGCCCGTGCAGTTGACTTTTAAAAAAAATAAAATAACAGCTTTATTGAGAGATAATTCACATACCATAAACTTACCCTTTAAAGTATACAATTCAATGGTTTCTGTATATTCACAAAGTTGTGCAACCATCACCACTATCTAATTCCAGAACATTTCATCATCCCCAAAA